GGGGCCATGGGGGACGGGGGGGCATAGTGGACAGAGAAGCCATGGAGGACAGACGGGCCACGGGGGACAGGGGGCCCATGGGGGACAGGGAGGCCATGGGAGACAGGGAAGTTACGGGGGACAGAGAGGCCACAGGGGACAGGGGCCATGGGGGACAGGGGGCCGCAGAGGACAGGGAAACGATGAGGGACCTGAGACAGGGAGGCCCCGGGAGTCAGCTGAGACCTGAGCGGAGGCCCCAGAGAGGAGGAGTGGCTCCTGAGGCCTGGGTGGGGAAAGCAGCAAGTGGCAGCCCTAGTGTCCATGACAATCCTCTGTGCTGCCTCCCAGGACCCCCAAGGCTCACCCACGAGCTCCCCTCTTCTTCTCAGATGCATCTCCGCTATTACCCCGTCCAGTCCCCCATCACCCAGTCCAGCTCTCCTATCACCAGGTCCAGCCCCCCCATCACCCGGTCCAGCCCCCCCATCACCAGGTCCAGCCCCCTTATCAATTGCTCAACCTCCCTATTAACAGGTCCAGCCCCCCTATCAGCCAGCAGGCTGCACCCTGTCCTTGACCTGACGAGCTTCATTCCCTGCAGCCACTGAACTGTTCAAACAATCTAATCACATCCTTCCACGGAAACTGGGGGCAGCCTACTCTCGTTACTACAAACCTGCCTCCCACAGCCCCTGCTGTTCTCTCTGCTGAGCGCACCCGAGTGGCCCTGCGTGGCACACGAGGAGGAGCAGAGGGAGGCAAGGGGAGGTGAGGGGCAGGGACACGTGACTGGGACCAGGGCGGGACCAGCAGAGGAGGACAAGGAAGGGTTGGAGCACAGGCGACGGAGGGGCTCCAGCCAAGGCCATGGGCCTGAGCCAGCACGAGCAGAGCAGAGACGGGGGTGGGGAGTGAGGGCCGAGGAAGAGCGGCCTCAGAGGCCTCAAGGCCCAGGGGCAGGGAGCTGTCAGGAGAAGTGTGCCCACCCTGGAGGAGGCAGTGGGCAGCCCCATGCCTGCGGGCAAGGCTACAACAATGACAAGATGCAAGGCCTGAGCCCGGACAGAGGCTGAGGTGGCACAGGACAAGCCTGGGAGAAAGAGAAGGCGAGGAGGTGGGAGCAGGGCATGGGAACCATGGAGGTGTCCTCGGTCCGGACAGACCGCTGGGAGCAGGGCATGGGAACCGTGGAGGTGTCCTCGGTCCGGACAGACCGCTGGGAGCAGGGCATGCGAACCGTGGAGGTGTCCTTGGTCTGGACAGACTGCTGGGAAACGTTTGGCCACTGCATGGGTCTCTCGAGGCCACGTTTCCAGGCTCACACACACAAACGAGGGGCCCCAGTGGGGCCGCACCGATTCGGCCAAGCAGCTGAGGCGGGCACCGGGAGCCTCTCCTTGGCGTCTTCACTGAGGAGCCAAATGCTCCGTCAGCAGCACAGCCAAAGCAACCAGCCCTCCTGGTTTTCACTGGAAACGGAGCTGCCTGGAGATGGGGGGTCCAGGGGAACAGAGAGGCCCGGTGACAAACCTGCCCACTGACGGGAGGTCCAGGGGAACAGAGGGGCCTGGTGACTAAACCTGCCCGCTGACGGCAGCAAGAGCCCAAAGGTGCGCGAAGCAAAGCTGAGCTTCCCTTTGAAGTCAGCCATGTGTGGTGGAACCAGCCCGTCTGTCATCAGCACACTGACAGCCGGCCAGTGTTTGGCCTGGACCAGAGAACAGCCGCGGAGGCGCCCCTGCCCAGGACCTGATGGGGACTTCTGTTTGCCCTCCGGGAACCTGCCCAGACGTGACAGGCTTACTTCCTTCACCCGAAACACCAGGTTAAGGGCCCTTCATCATGCTCCCCACCACGTCTCCACAGCAGCACCTAGTGGCGCAGCGCGGGATGACACGCCACAGGTCGGGGAGGAGCGACCCAGCCTCCTGGGAACCCCTCCTGGGAACCCCTCCGGGCAAAGAGTTCCCATGAGACGCTCAGTGGGCCCCCCTCCCAAAACACCACCTGCCCAGAGCCAGGGCCTGCGTCGGACGAAGAGCTGCGGGTGGTCTTTTGTCTGGTCTTGAAAAGAACCCTTGGGATCTGCCAGCAATCAAGGTGCCTGTTTTCCAAAACAGCCAGGCCCCATTTAAACACCAGCGCGGGTAGCGGGCGGCCCAAAGACCACACGTGGCAGACCAGGTCAGGGAGGGACGAGGGGCTCCATAAAGCACTCTCGCACCCTCACTGATTCAATCGTCCTGCAGGGCACTGAGGCCCCAACAACCCATCAAAGGCCCTGAGCAGGGAAGCCGCTGGGCTCCCTGATGGGCAGGAGCTGGGGCATGGCCCTGGGGACAGTGTCAGCCTCGGGCCTGGCCCTCTCCCAGAGCGAGACCTGTGTGTGTGTTCAGGTGTACCCTTCCTTGGTTACGTTGAAGTGGTCATCCGGTGTAATGAACTCTGGTGGCACAATGGTTAAGCATTCTGCTGCCAACTGAAAGGTCAGCAGCTCGAACTCACCAGCCGCTCCTCAGAAAAAAGATGTGACAGTCTGCTTCCGTGAAGCTTACAGCCTAGCAAACCCTCTGTCATGGGGGGTTGCCATGAGTTGGAATCGACTCGACGGCACCTAACAACAACATCATAAGCCTAGCCCTTCCCGCAAGATCGGCTTGCAGAACTCGCCATCTCGCGAATGATGGAACCCACCGGGGACAGGGAGAGGTTGGCGTCTGCCTACTGGGCAGCGGCTCTCAAGGGCAGAGCCCTTTCAATGTTCACCCCAGGTCTGACCTAACTCCAGGGGGTCAGCATCAGACAGAGAAAGTGCCACGTGGTGGCTGGTGTCAGAGTTGGACACGTGGGAAAGCAGGGATGGGCCTTATGTCGATTTTTATCAATATAAGTGGTTAACAAAAATGCATTTTCATCCAGCACGTCTGAAGGTATCTCCTCCCTAAGGAGGCCGTTCCTCAGGCCTGCGGAACACAGAACGTGAAACCGGCCAGGCCCTGCCTCCCCACCATTTACGTGTGCTTCACCAAAGTAGCCTACTGACCTGGTTGAAGACGCTTCCAGAAATCACTACGACCATCTGCAGGGCGAGGAGAACTCGGGTGCTGCAGGGCACTCGGGAGCAGCCAAGCCCCCTCGCCATGAGACGGGCCAGCACCCCAGCTTCTCAGCACTGCCCCTCAGTGGGGGACCAGCACACCCATCTCACACGGGTCTCGGCGGGGGCCCGGGGAGATGGCTCGGGCACACCAGTCGGCAGGCGTAGGCACCGCCACACGTCCCCACCTCCGCACGCGGCCAGGCCTGGGAAGCTGCAGGCAGGAGGCCAGTACAGTGCTTGCGCAGAGGCGTCCGGTGCGAGCTGAACCGAGCCACCTGAGACCGTTCTTACTGCCTCCTCGCTCTTTCAGAAAGAGCCCTGGTGACGCAGCGGTTAAGTGCTCCGCTGCAAAACGAAACGTCAGTGGCTCAAGGCCACCGGCCTTAGACACTCTCTGGGGCGGTTCTGCTCTGTCCTACGGGCTCGGTATAAGTCGGAATCCACTCAATGGCAACAGCAACGAACTTGATGTTTTTATTTTTAATCCTTCTGAAAACTAGCCGTTATTATCTCAACATCCAACAACTCCCAGCTCAGGGCTTCAGGGCATGTTTTTGCAGGACTGGGAAAAAAAATGTTTCTCCGGAGCTTGGCTCCCAGCCTCCTCAGAAGAGCTCCCAAGCATAAACAAGCCCCCACGTGAACTGCACAGAGACGCGACCACCACACGCATATTTACGGCAGAAGAGAGACGCTACGCCACGAAAGCGAACACAAGCCGCGCTGAGAAACCGCGGGCGGCCCCGTGGCCTCGGGAAGCCGGCTGACTGACTAAAGCTGCGAAACGAGAGGCCGGCTCCAGGCCGTGTGCACTGATGGAAGCCGAACCCAGAGCCTTTAGAAACCCCTGCAGCCCAGCATCCCCGCCCGCGCAGCACCCCCGCCCAGTGTGGCCCACCCACCTGGCACCCATCCGCACTGTGACACGCCCAGTGCCCTCGCCGGCGATGTGGCCCGCCCAGCACGCTTCTCTACCCCTTCACAGCAAGACGATGCCAGGCTGCCTGCCACCTGACAGCACGTGTACCCAGGCGGGTCACAACCAAGTGCAGTGGTGCAAGAATGACCACAGTTCCAAAGGGAGCATGCACACCGTGCACACACACACTGCTCACGCGCACAGCAGGGCGCACACGTAGGAGAGTGCATCCTCGCACACACTGCACCGTGTGCACGTGGGGGAGTGCGTACCACGTCCTCGTGCACACGCGGGGGAGTGCACACTTGCACACGGGGGTGTGCACACTGCACCCTCGTGCACACGTAGGGGAGCACGCACACTGCGCTCTCCTGGGTGTGTGGGCGGAGTGCACACCACACTTGCACACGTGGGGGGTGTGTAGACTGCACATGCACACACACGGGATGTATGTGCTCACCACACTTGCGCACACAGAGGTGTGGAGGTTCACACACGTGGCACACAGTGCAAGCCCAGCCCCAGCTTCTATGGTAGAAAGAGCATCAAAACTGCTGTCACTCAGTACCAACCACAGGGCGGGGTGTTGCGCTGGGGACCGGCACGCAGACATGCGTCTAAGCCACAGGACAGCCCAGTTATGCGGACACAAGCGGCCGACAGACCAGCAGGGAGCTGGTACACCCACAGGCAACACCACAGTGGGACTAGGGCCCTGGCCGGCCTCCTTCCTGCCGTCACCGGCCCTGGTAGAGCCGCAGAGTCACAGGGACCCAGTTCTTCCCACCAAGCCCCCTACACTACCGTCATCCTGCTCCTCCACACGCAGGCCCTTCACACATGCTGTTCTTGCTGCCTCAGCTGCTTTTCCCTGCTCTCTGAAACAAAGTCTATCGGAAAGAAGGAAGGACGGTGATGCCTGACTTAGGTGTAAGGACACTCACTGAGCGAGGAACGGCGGGTGCCACCACCCCTAAGGGCCCTCACCTGAAAACACCTGATGGCGGTTTCGCAGCAGTGTCTGCAGGCCCCCACACTCCCTCCTCAGTCTCTGCAGCGTCTCCTTGTCCAGCTCGCTGGCGACTTCTGCCAAGGAGAGGCTCCCTGGAGAGACAGAACACAGACCATCACAAACCTGCTCAATGGGCAGAAAACGCCGAGCGCCAGAACTCCCATCTCAGCGCACGTGAGCAGGAAGGGCCACGTCACCCATGGCCCACAGCCGTGGGGTCCTGAGGGCGGGACCTCACCAGCAGCACGGCCTGGATGGGTGAGGGGACGGTGTTGACCCCATGGCCACAGGGTCTGTGTCACATCGGAGGGGCACCGCCTGGACGGGACACAGACTGTGCACTGAGTGCCGGAACAGCGTGGGCAGCGTCACCTGCCCTCCTCCTGGGGTGTCTGCACTCAGGACAGATGGCCGAGCTGGCCACAGAAGCCGGGGCTCCCTCCTGGCGGCCCCACCCTGCAGCCAGCCAGGCCCCGGAGCTCACTGGCCGCAGGCAGGGCGTCGACCGCGAGGGGGCGTCTGCGGTGAAAAACTAGCAGAGACGTTCCTGTTTAGAGCGGACTGTTCTCAGCCCCCACACGGAGCTCACGCTCCACTCTGACCTTCCAGGAAGGCTGGTGAGCACAGAGGGCGGTTTATTTCCGAAACACCAGACTTCAAGTGAAACTGAAACACCTTCCTTGGGTTCTGGAGGCCCTGGGCGGTGCAAACGGTTTACGCACTTGGCTGATAATCGAAAGGTTAGATGTTCGAGTCCACCCAGAGGTGCCTCAGAAGAAATGCCTGGCAATCTACTTCCTAAAAACCCCATGGAGCACACTTCTACTGACACAATTTCCCTCACGGGGTTGATGTAAGTCGGGGTCAACCCCACGGCAGCTGATGGTTTCCTCGTGCTCATCTGCCAAGAACTCCCCACAGGAGGCCCTGCCACTGTGTCTCTCTGCCCTCAGCACCAAGATGGCAGGTGAGCCGAGGACCCTCGGGCCTGCCTGGAGGGCAGATCTGGAGACTGGAAACCAGCACCACTGCGCCGCCTACTCCAAGACCCTCGGGGCAGGCATCTGTCCTGTGGCCGCCTGCGTCATTCTACCCGCAGCCTCCCCTCAGCTGCCTCCAGCAGCTGAGAGGAGGCAGGAGGGCTGAAAAAATGCTTTAAAGACCTCCTGAAAGCCTTCCTGGCCACACCTGACCACCCCTTGAGCTTGGCCACCCGAGGCCGCCGTGCAGCGCCGCTTCCTGGGCTCCTGGTCCCCTCATGGGTGCGGAGCGCAGCCCACCAGCTGAAGCTGGACTGGAGGCTTCCTCCCCAAGGGCGGGGACGAGCAGGCCCCCAATGCCTGGGTCTCCCAGCAACGCCCGCAGAGGGGGTGCCAGCCTGAGAAGGGAGGCCCCAGGCTCAGAGATTCAGAAGCCCTGGGCCTGAGAGCGGCTGGTGGAGGGGGACACGCTTGATGGCCCTGCCACACCACGTGTGCACTGGAGTCAAGGGGGGATGAGGATGAAATAGACGTGACATCTCACGGTTCAGGTGAAGATGAGGAGAAGAAAGGTGTGCTTTGGCCCCGGGCCAGCCCACGGGGGCCAGCCTGTGGGGCCAGCCAGTGGGGTCAGCTCACGGGCCCAGCTGGTGGGAGCCAGCTCGCCGGAGCCAGCTGGTGGGAGCCAGCTCGACGGGCCAGCTTGTGGAGCCAGCTCGCGGGCAGGAAGGAGGACCTGACCTCAGGGACCCTGTAACTCAGAGGCTCAGCTCTGGCTCAATCCCCAAACGGAGCTGGCTCCACAGCGCCCCCTGGCGGCCCGCCACCATCTGTCCTGGCAGGAAGCGGAGTCAGGAGAGGCCAGCTCCTCACGGGGCGTAGTCATGATGAGAAGCTGCCCTCTGCCCCGTCTCTCTCGAGTGCCATGGGGGTCAGCACACCACCCCACCCCACCCCCAAGAACAATCTCCCTTCGTCAAGTCTGATTCCCCCGTTTTTGAGCTTTCAAAGAGAATCAACCTATCCGGTCACTACCCCTCTAACTCCTACACATACACCCGAGGGTATGGCGTCTTCCTGGCCCACCTTTCCGTTCAGTCTCTCTTGGGGTAACACCACAGACTGAAAACGAGGCGCTGCAGAACCCGACCCTCATGCTCTCGTGAAGCTGGTTAAAGGTCCCACGTGAACTCGCCTGGCCTCAGCCTCCCTCCCCTGAGGCACCCAAAGTTCTTGGTACTGACAGAAACCCCAGGCAAGCTGGAAAGCATGAGCTGGTACCCGCGGCCCCACGCAGTCTCCCGCGGCTGCAGGGGAGGAAGGGTGTCACAGCTGGACCGGCACGTCCCCCCCAGATGTGGGGCGCTTTACCTCCTGGGTTCCAGGGCTTCACACCGGCATCTCGAGAGTCCTCTCCTGGGCTCGGCTGCTTCCCATCCAACAACAGACGGGCCACCCGCAGAACCACGTGGTCGATGAAGTCGCGAGGGAGAGTGGCACAGTTCCTCACGCGCTCCGCTGGCGCTCGAGGCTGGAACCCAGGCAGCCAGAGACCCTCCGCCGGGGAGCCCGCCCCTCGTGCTGCAGGCCCGGGCTCAGCCCCAGCGTCCTGGGCTCTGGGGCCATCCTGCCCCCTGAGGGGAGGGCAGGGAGGATCCTTGTGCAGCGGCCGACCCCCCCGACTGAGAATGTACCGAGTCCTCTGCTCGTCAATGGAAACTTCCCCTGCGGGCGGGTACGTCCTGGACTTCCCAATGAGGCAAACCTGCATGGGGAAGGAGCAAAGCGTTATCCAGCAGGCTCACAGTATCTCAATGTTCCCATGGACTTCTGTACTTGAGGGCAAACCCCATAAAGTTTTCAATCTCTATCATAAAAATCCATATTTTAAAAACTGACACCAACGTGAACTAAAGACTTTTTTAAAAAACCTAAAAATAAAAGAATTAATTAAAAAAAAACGCCCCGAGAGTATGGCCCCCAGACACCCTTTTAGATCAGTGGTGAAGTCACTTCCGAGGTTCACCACTCAGCCACGGATTGGACAACCTCATAAAACAAAATGGGACTAACGAGGCACAGCAGTCCAGGGACAAGGACTAGAAGGCAGAAGGGGACAGGAAAGCTGATCATAGGGAACCCAAGGTTGAGTAAGGACAGTGTTGACATGTAGTGGGGTTGTTAACCATTGTCATAGGGCAACATGTGTACTAACTGTTAAATGAGAAACTATTTTTGTTCTGCAAACCTTCATCTAAACAAGAATAGCAGCACAACCAGAAGAACGTAATTAATGTCACTGAGCTGTGCATGGAGAAATTTTTTTGAAATGGTGTATCTTTGGCCGTGTGTATTTTCAAACAAAAAAGTCAAGAAGGGAGCATGCTGACACGCTGTGGGGTTGTTAACCTATATCACAAAACAACATGTGTCCCGACTGTTTAATGAGAAACTTTTTGTTCTGTAAACGTTCACCTAAAACCCAATAATAAACAAATAACACCAACAGTAAAAGCCCATGAAAAATCCGCCCCGCAGACTCTCAGAGACCTGACAAGCACATATGAACTGAGAGTTGCCAGCCTGGGCGCGGAAGTCCGGGGCACATCCCTGGTCTGCCCTCGTTTAGTCCCCATGTGCCACGGGAGGAGGTGCGATGCTAACCCTCCGAGGCCTGGTGGGGCGAGCATGAGGGTCAGACTTTCCATCACACTCTCGGAGCGAGGTGAGCTGTAAGAGCGCCCAGCAATGCACTGGAGAAAGGGGGGTGGTCGTCACACTCTTGGAGCGAGGTGAGCTGTAAGAGCGCCCAGCAGTGCGCTGGAGCAAGGGGGGTGGTCGTCACACTCT